TCCAGAACCAGTCGAGGGGCACTTTGATTATTCGTAGCAACATGCAATAGTTCTTTTATTACTTGTGCTTGTAATTTTTTTTTCAAGAGAGAAAAACAATGAACCCAAAAAAAGCCAATAGCCGGACATTTTGTGACCCTCAGCAGACGCTCATACCATGCATGGGGTAGAAGGGCCAACCAGGGGATTCAAATTTTAAGAAGTTCACCCAGCCCCGTTTCTAAACTTCCCTGCCCTACCTTGCCGCTAATGCCATCCATGAAGGGTTAACGTTTTTCTATTAAGTTGGAAGATATAGAGATGTTCCAGTTGCCATGACTTCCATTAAAAAAAATCACTTGCAGGTCACAAAATGTATAGATATGATAAAGTGAATTAACCCTTCCACCTCCCCAATATTCTCCTAAGACCTTGGATTATCACAGAGATAATTCTAAGAATAAATTCAGACTCTGGACTCTTAAAGGGCACCCGCAGGCGAAGGATGTGCTGCAAATGAAGAGGGGAGAGAGGATAAGCACTGGTCCCCCCTTCCTTTACTTTTTCTAATAGTGACTGTATTTTGGAAAGGTGATGCCATTCTACTGTCTTTAGTACAGTGGTACCTGGGTTCACGAACTTAATTCGTTCCATGATTCGGGTCGCGGACCGAATTGGTCGCGAACCGAATCAAATTTCCCCATAAGGTTCAATGTAATACATAATACTGTATAGTACTATATGTGCTAAAAAGCACACACAAAAAGCTTCACAGCAAGTGTGCACAGGCCTGTCTGCGACCGCGATCTCGACTAGAGGAAACCACGACCACGTGTCAGAGCGGGAAAGACCGCTCACTGCTCCTCTCTCTCCTTGTGCAGGGTGACTGGTCTTGTCTCCGCCTCCTTCTGCAGTTTTTTTGTAGACAGCCAGTATCGGGGTGGGGCCTGCTGGGTCCCTCCCACAGCTCTGCCCTCTGCACAGGCTATGTACAGCACGGTGATGATGTCACTGCTTCTTTTACAAGGTAATAATTGGGTCTGCAAATGCATATGGTGCACACAAAGAGGTTTGTTTTCAATCCTTTGTGGCTATTGAGGAATATATATAAATTAAAGCTCAGTGTAGTGACGGGTCCCCTTCAGGTGCCTTAAATGCTATTGCAGCTTGATGATTCAGGGCCAATGTGCCCAATCAGATGTCAGCTTCCTCTGTTCTGTTTTCTCTGCACACGCCAAAGCCGGTCGCTCCAAATGACCGCACACCAGTCCGATATGTGCCACTGACCTCGCGCTGGAACTGCATGAACAACTGAACCGTGAAAGGGGGAATCTGATTGGTTCCTAAGGACTGCACACACGCACAGACACAGGCAAGCACACACACATGCATGCACAGTCCTTCTTCCAAAATACTTTGATACAGTGGGCCCCGTCTGCCGGCGTTCGTCAGCCGATGGCTCTATATTAAGGGGTCTGTGCCAGTTTTCTGCAGCTGCTGTTTGGGTGGCTCAGTTGTGCGAAGATGAGACGCTCGGCGTGTGATTTATAAACGGTCTCAGAACGCGGGGATCGCCTTATCATTCACACGCAGGAGGAAGATGAGAGGCTTGCAGCGTGACAACACACTCGCTGACTACGCCTGAGAAGGTCTGTATGGCTCTGTACGGCGGGCAGAGACGGATGCGCCGCGTGTAAGCGTATCCCGATAAGGGGAGACGGGGAGCTTTAAAGGGACGCTGTCATTTTTTTTTAACCTTTTAAAGGGGACCTGTCAGGATACAAGGAAGGGAGCCGCCACTGCTGACTTGCTTGGTAGGTCACCGACACAGAGGAGGCAGGAGCTTATAAAAGCATTTACTCATTGGACCAGCAAAGTGGCACAGATAAGGATGACGGCTCTGGAACATGCGCCTTTAAAATGAAGAAGTCATCATTGGAACATTCTGTATGACATCCCGACAGGCTCCGGTCACAAAAAATGTATTTAAATAAATTCCTCAATAGCCACAAAGAATATAAATCTGCTTTGTGTGCATGAAATTCCTTTGCCAACCCAGATATTACCTTGTAATGTAGCAGTGACATCATCACTGTGCTGAACATTGCCTGTGCAAAGAGAGGAGCTGTGGGAAGGACCCAACAAGCTCCACCCACTACAGGAAAACTACGGGAGGGGGAGGAGACAAGACCAGTCGCTCTGCGTGCGGTGAGAGAGCAGCAGTGAGTGGTCTTTATTACAGGAGGGGGCGGAGACAAGACCAGTCACTCTTCACAAGGTGAGAGAGCAGCAGTGAGCTGTCTTTATTACAGGAGGAGGCGGAGACAAGACTAGTTACCCTGCACAAAGAGAGAGAGCAGCAGTGAGCGGCCTTTATTACAGGAGGGGGCGAAGACAAGACCAGTCACCCTGCACAAGGTGAGAGAGCAGCAGTGAGCGGCCTTTATTACAGGAGGGGGCGAAGACAAGACCAGTCACCCTGCACAAGGTGAGAGAGCAGCAGTGAGCGGCCTTTATTACAGGAGGGGGCGAAGACAAGACCAGTCACCCTGCACAAGGAGAGAGAGCAGCAGTGACCGGCCTTTATTACAGGAGGGGGCTGAGACTATAAATACACTTAAAGGATCAATCCACCTGAAAGTATTATTTCAGCTACAGATCAGGGTGTACCTTCTGTCAGCTGGACATGATGGAGGGCGATAGGTAGGTCTTAAATGCCATGACTATTTCACAGGCTACCATTCTGAACCTCTTACCTTTCTGCCACATGATAGCAGGTCGTGGGGCCCCCGAGGTTTCACACTGCAGCACCAGAGCTGTGCCGTCTATCACGGTGCTGTCTAAGGGCCCCTTGGTGATGTTAGGAGCAATGCCTGCAAGAAAAGATACAGAAATCCACATGTGCTCAGTCTCAAAGATCTTAAAGGTGAAGTTACATTTGCTATCATTTTGCCTTCCCTGGTCCCCCTCCCCAAAATCAACATGCTAATGATATTATTAAATAAAACCTTTCCATTTTATCTAAGCATTATTTTAGACATGATGATGTCATCACCAGGTCTCTGTGCAATGCAGGCAGATCATGGCTGGTGGGAGGGGCCGGCAGGGGGGCTGTACATAGCTTCCTGAAAACATCACAGCACCCTTCCTCAGTACTCCTCTCAAGAGTCCTCATTCCTGATACAAGCAGTGGGGGGGCTCTTGGGAGGCATTATGCAAATATCAAAATGCCTTGATGTGTGGCGGTCAGTCGAGATGAGGACTGAAGTCATTCAGACAGGAAATGAAGGCGGGCTCGAGGTAGTTGCTGCAGCAGCTTCCATAGGGGCATTCAATGTGACCATTTTGAGCACAGGGGAGGGAAAAAAAAGGTATGTCCGGAGTTCAGCTTTAAGGGGCGAAGTTATACTTCCGCCCCCCCCAAGGACAACAGAAATGTGGCCCCCGGGTCTCTCTACAATTGCAAGCTGTCCTGTGGGTACTTACTGGTGACGGCCAGGTAAGTGGAGCTCTGCACCTCCCCCGCACTGTTGCGGGCGAAGCACTGGAACATCCCCGTGTCCTCAGGCATCAGCCCGCTGATCCGAAGGCTCCCCCCGCCTACCACGCGAAACCTGGTCTCCCGACGGACATCAATCAGGGCGGCATCCTTGTACCAGGAGATGGAGGGCTGAGGAACACCTAAAAAACAAACAAACAGCCAATGGAAAACAAAGTCAAATAATTGCAAATGGTTGACGGTCAGCTCCACCCTAAAAGTCAAAATGGACATAAAATACAGGAGAAGCGCATTGGGCTCCTATAGGAAGAGTGCTGTTGGTCTGGTGACAGGGTCTCTTTAAGATCCGATTGAATGTCTCACAATCAGACCCCATTCACACTGAGCGACATGAAAATCGCGCGATATTGAGCGATATTGAGCAACTTGTCGCGCGACATCGCGCACTTGTTCCTATGGGGCTGTATGCAATCAGGCGCAATATCGCTCGAGATGTGAACAGCTCCATTGAAATGGATTGGAGAAGCTACATAGAGCGATATCGCTGCAAAAATCGCGCAATAAATCGCTCAGTGTGAACGGGGCCTCAATCTTTCCTTGCTGGTCACAGCAGCCAATCAGAATCTCCCGTTCCTAACAGACAGTTCTTATTTCAGGCACTTGCGGCCACCACACGTTCGTGCCTCGGTGATTAGAATTCAGATGAAGGAGACGTATACGAGTCAGGAAGAATTAAGAAAGGAGAAAGCCAGAGCGCAGTAAAAATCCACACAGTATCTAACAAGTAGCGTCTCCTGGGTACTTAACATAACACGGCATATTAAATCATCTCTCCATCCCTTCCGTACCACAGACATTTATTTCTCCTAATGCTTGAGGGGCAGCGGTGCCCTTTCCTGGTAGTAATTATACGTACACCACAAGCCTAATTGTGCTGCTCGTCATTATTACTGACAATGAACATATATTACCACCACAAGAAGAGTTTCTGCAGAGAATATAGAATGCTGAAGGCACGGGGACTCATCCATCGGATCTTAAAGGGTAAGTCCACCGAAAATGTACATTTCAGCTATAGGTGGAATCTGGTGTGCTGGCTAACTAGGCAGATGTTTATATTATATGGCCAAAAGTTTAGGGACTCCTGACCATCACAACTACCTACACGGCCAAAAGTATGTGGGCTAGGGATGCACTGAGACCGGTTTTGCGGTATCGAGTACCGATATTTCGCTTTCGGTACCCCGTACTGATAGCGGTGCTTCCGCTGGCAAGGAGACGGCTTCCTGGGCAATCATGTCCGCTGGCAAGGAGCCGGCTTCCTGGGCAATCATGAAGCCGGGCGGCGGGTAATGACATGCCGCCCGGCTTCCGGATTGCTCGGGAAGCCGGCTCAATGTTGTTTGATCGGCTCAATTGTGATTTCCAGCCAGCCAATCAGCATCGAGCCGGCTTCCAGGCCAATCAGCAAGCCGGGCGGTGAGTAATGACCCGCCTCCCTGATTGCCCGGGAAGCTGACTTTATGTTCCCCCATGGCACTGCTGGTCAGGGGAAATCTTCCTCTGACTGGAAGTACCAGTATCAGGGAAGGTAGTGGAGCATTTGGGTGAGAACGAGTACTCGGTATCGGCACCGATACTGATACTAGTATCGGGGCATCCCTAATGTGGACCTTCATCCAAATGATGGACTTCAGGTGTTTCAAGTGAAGGGTCTGTTCATTCTAAGCATACAAAGCCATTGCAGAATTGTGCTCTTCCAACCTTGTGGTGACAGTTTGGTGAAGACCCTTTTCTGTTCCACCATGACTGCCCCCTGTGTACAAAGCCAGCTCCAAAAAGACATGGTTTGGCCAGCTTGGTGGAGGAACTCGGGTGTCCTGCACAGAGCCCTGACCTCAACCCTACAGAACACTTTTGGGTTGAACTGGAACACTGATTGCCAGCCAGGTCTTCTCATCCAGTAAGAGTACAAGACCTCACAAATGGGCACAAATTCCCACAGACACCCTTCAAAATCTTGTGGAAAGCTTTCCCAGAAGAGTGGAGGATGTTACAGCTGCAGAAAAAGGGGACCAACCCCATATTAATGTCCATGGCTTTGGAATGAGATGTCCAACAAGCCCATATAGGTGTGATGTCCGGTGTCTGCAAACGTTTGGCCACACAGTGTAAATCTGTGATGGACAATCCAC